GCAACGGCTCTGGGAGACTTGCAAACCACAGTTTCGTTATCCCTTCTTCGCACAAGAATAAGGGACCAGCGATGCGCTGAATTTCGCGCAGTAACATCGACGACTTGTGATCTCCCAGCTTTAGACCACGGAGCCGTTCAAATCGAAGTCGTGCGCTGGGCTAACTCTTTTATCATCATTAGTGTCATCGTTTCCTAACTTTCCTCATTCGATGGATAGAGTGGAATGTCCTCAACCATCGTCACAACCGACGAAAGAAGACGTGGGACGAGCTGAATGTACCTCAGACGGTCCCGCTTAATGCCCTTATTTTTCAGTTCCGTCTCAAATATCGCATACCAAACCTCTGGGCTGTGTTCCATGAAACTTGGAACAGCCAAACTAAGCATGTCTACGCTGTGGAACGACTCAAGTGCCACTTTAGAAATGTGAACGGGGAAGATCAAGCATAAACAAAACAAGATGAAACTACTAAAATTACTCAAACAACAAATGAATACACGTATATAACCGAGAAAAAGCAACAAACTCACCAAAAGATACAAATGACGAAAAAATTTTTAATTTGCCCTAGCGAATCCGTCAGCAATTTATAGGACTAGTAAATACTAGTCCGAGATGGTGCGAAAAATTAGGTGTGGATATCAGAAGGCATTTGGTGTCGGACACAGGGCAGTGGATTCCATGGGCTACACGAAGACACGGACGAATGAAGCTGACCAAGAACAAAATGCCAGCGTGGAGACTTACAAGAGGGTCAAGTGAGGAGCCGGTGGTAAGGAAGATTAAAACAAGAAAGAATAATGTGCAATTGGTCAATAATGAAATAGTACACAAAGGATAACAGTTATCTTTTTGGGCGCTACACAGTTTCCAATATCTTGTCAACATTTAGACGAAAGATGACTCTAGATGATTTGTATGAGAAAGGTCCTGGATACTTAAAAGTTGTAATAGCCCTTAATTTTCCCAATATTAGAATTTTAACTGCATGTAGATGAACTCCTTAGTATGTATTTACAATCCATCTTATTCCTACCAATCTTACTGTCCCGTCTAACCAAAGCTCTCTTCTGCCCCTTCGGTCCACCGTTTGAGAGATGAACTACGTCTTTCAAGCCGAAATCGCCGCACGGTCGTCGTTGTTCCCAATGATTTTCCACCAAACTCTATCTGATCTTTTATAAAAAGCTTATAAACAATAGTATGCTTTTGATTCCTCATATCTTAGAATCTTTCTTATTACCGTTGGTCACGAGTGCCCTGATCTCTTGAGGTGAGAGATTACAGCTACCAACATAATAAAAATATTCCACTCATGCAAAGCATACTGCCACTGACTCTTTGGCAACTAACAAAACAGTGCCATACTTGAATGATCTGCTTGACAGATCGGACTGAGGCTGCATCATTCGTAATGCATGCATAGAACAGCCTTAATCAAAAGATGACATTTGTGAAACAGGTGATGGTTTACTTGCTATTTTACCACACCGGCACACAGCCAGTTGGAGCGTGGAAGTGCGAGTGAAACCCATCGAGGGCTTACCCCGCATGGAAGCAGATCACCTTGGGACAGTTCCATAGGTGACCGTATTACTTTTGTTAGGAAGGAATACACGAATCGAACAAGCCAGGACCCCATCGTCTCGGCCAGCCATCCAAACTCATCCGCCCTGATTGGGGCGAACAGCGAGCCAACCAGGAGAAGCGGTCAAAGAACGCTGGGTTGAAGTTCCTTTATTGGCTGTAAGTCAACCTTTCCAGAGCTTTCCACGGTCGCTTTAACTATACTATTCACGAACTTTCCAATTTACCTTTATAATGAACGGTGTGATTTGCTAATTCCTTCCTGTTGCTCTGCTCGTCCGATTCGTCTTCTCTCTGTCCTGTGAGGGGCCAGCGTTTTCGAGTTTGATTGGCAATCAAGCGTTCATTCACGCGAGGGACGAACACTTCAACTTTACTTGAACTTTCGGTTAAATTCACATTTGTTACTGCTCACAGTATCTTACTGTCTCTAATACTATCCAACTGCCATTCACTTCAGCAATCCATTTGGGAACCATTGTACAAAATATAAACAATCTAATATTCTATGCGATCCCGATGTACAAATTGAGCAGTCCACTCAGTTGGATTGTGCCTTGCACTGTCAATGAATATAACGTTTATTTGTTTATTTAGTTAGCATTCCGATGTGGGCAACTATACCAGGAATGCAGCTTTCCACGAGAAGCACATCGTCCAATCTTTTTGTCAACTTGACCACACTTTACAGTATGTGTGTTCTTCTGTGCATGAGAATGAGAAATGCCGTGAGGTTTAAACTAGTGATATTGGCACTGTTTTCTCGCTTCGGAATGAACTCAGCTTTCGCTCGGACCAAACAAAACTTGCTGATTAACAACAGTCGTCTGAGCTTTGTAATGTCAGAAACATCTGATAGTGAAAACCGATGAACTTCACTTGATTATAATACTGTGCTGGAGGTGATAAAAGCTTACGATATAAATCGGGATCAGTTATGCCTGCAATCTGGTGATCTCTTATCAAAATTTTCCCCGAATGCACGAGCTGAAGCTTGACACTGGAGTTAGAGAATGGAATCTCCGACAAATTGGTTAGGTTAACGCATCAGTAAGTTGAACTTTACCCTTTCGGCAACTACGCAATTTACCGGTACTAATTTGGTTAGGAGTTCCTTCAACTCTTCGTAAGGCAATTTCAATGGTAGCTCAGAATAAGCCAGATTATTTCAGAGTGAATACGCCACTGTTCCAATAGCAGTTAAAAAGTGAGTGCCTTTCAGATCTTTGCGCAGGTCACCTTTGGTGAACCATCATAGCTTGAGTCTTTCAATGTACTCTTGTACTACCCGAGGAGAGGCATTTACGTTCAAGCTTCTGACAGTTGCATAAATTTTAGGATAAATTCTGCCTGATTCGCAATGGAACTAGAAGTAGGCTTTAACCAAAGCAGTCTCGGCTCGTTGTAGGAACACCCGAATTGGAATTCAACTTTCGCGTTTATGTACTCTAAGTCAATTGATAAAAAAGAATAACCACAATCAGTCATTAAGTATTGTTTATACAATTGTCACAGAAGTACGGGGAAGTCCACCGGAGCAAGCACATACATCTTAACGGCTGAAGAACAAGGAACACCTATGTACAGCAGCCCAGAATTTCACGTAAACTGTGGCGGATACGGTGCTTGTTCTTGTATGTTACGCCACGCAAGCGCTTGCTTCGGATACCATTTGTTCCAGGAATTGGACCCTACATTCCCTTTTGTTCAGCACACCGGCTGGATCCTCTCGAAGCACCTCGGAATATCAATGCCTCGTGGTTTGTTTCACATTAACTGTGGTGATAGTACTTGATTTATATTTTATAGTACTTGTTTTAATGTACCGAGATAGTTAGTGCAAGTTCAATTTGGTTAATACAATTTCCACGTGCGCTCACGGCACGTTATTACTTCTGCTTTAACGCTAGCTTTGAGTCCGAGTCAAGACTATTTCAGTTCCGACTAGTTTGTACTAGGTGGATTCCGATTTCTATTATTTTTAGTGATGCCACACCTGCGTTCTGTTTAAGATGGTGGCCCGTGCTAATCTCAGTAGATGGATAGAATACCAGAGCTTGGGTAAGGCCGGTAACATTGGCACAGCGGGGTCACAAGTCAACCATTGTGTGGTTGTAGGCCACATGACTCTGTGTGGCTTGGTTGGCCCATGAAATAGGCTGAGTAGATTTGGGGAAAATTCGGCATCGTGCGTCAAGTACGTGGTAGGTCTGGTAGGACGTGTTCGAGGAGCAGACAAGAAATTCGGCCTATAAACGAATCGCTGACGAAGCTAAACATATGAAGTATAGACTCATCAACTCCCGGGACACAAGAAAGATGTGCGATGACAACACTCCGACGAGCTGAATGCGAGATGGAACAACGGACTGAAACCCGCGCATACAGTGACACGAGAGGAACCAACGCCAAACGTTGGAGCGTATATACACAACCGGCCTTGGCAAAGATCGACAAATGTAGTAAGGGTTAAGCCATGCATTCGTTCCACATCAACATTACACGAGAAATAAAAAACGCATAAAAATAATGGTCAGTTTAAACGAACCAATGGGGTTCCGATTGCGCAACACATGCACCGCTTGCGTTGTACTTCAACACGTAAGAACCCGAGGGCGGAGTTATTCAACGTGAAAACATCGGCAACCATGCCCATCAGTCCTGATCACTTAGAGGTCCACCCACGTGCGCATTTTCCACTGAAGGCTGTGTGATACACGCTGATTTTATATCCGACTTTGATGCATATTTATCACTGCTGAGAGATCATTGCTTCTGATTTAGAAAATTCATTTGATCCGGTAAACATTACCACCTTAGCTGGGCCGTCTCTTACTTGGTTGAGAATATACCAATATTTACCAATAAGTTATGCCCTGACTGTCTTGCATCAAACGATTCATCGTCATCCTTACGGCGTATATGCTGGCGGCCAGGTGACCAGTTGCAGAAGCAAAGTTTATAAACCGAAACGCTTATAACAGTGTCTGGATGGGTTCCCCGATGTGTTGTTCTGTGTCCACACCAAACAGGAGCATATATAAGCCGCCCACCTTGAAGCAATCTGGAAATGTATGCATTCCCAATCCATTTTTGTGTGTGCAACGAAGTGGCGCATAACCGCTGTAAATTTGCTAGGACGGATTGCGGGAAGCTTCTAATTTGGACGAACCAGTGCGGCCAAGTATCCTTTAACAGCGTCCCATTTGATTTGCTCCCGCACTGTTGAGAAGTTTATGCTTTACCAGAAATTCGGGTATGCAAGAGTTCATTGGGATAACCCTCGAAACACGGGTAACTGACTAAACCTAATGTGGCGTTGGCTGTATTCTTGGCTAACCAATCGCGTCGTGGTTCGTTCAATCGATTGAAACATCGTCTGCCACATGATTGGGTGTCTACTGTCTGATATTTAGTAGTCGCACAACAAATAACGTTTTCTGCGGGCAACCACAGGATGTTTCGGGTTGTGCGCCCACAAAATGCAATGGCCTGCTTTCTACTAATGACAGTGACGTGTTACATTTGTGTTCTTGTCATTGTTCGCTTCAAACTTCCCAAGCAATACACCCCGAGGGGTTTAAATGATCCGGCTATTTATCATACTCTCATGAAAGGGAAAAGTTGTTTCTCTCCACTCGCCTCCATGCACAAGACGGTGTCAACCGCAATTCCAGTTTTACCGGTCTGTTCAACCTCAAGCGTCAACAAACAATTGGTGTGGATGGAGAGAGGAGTTTTGCACATCGCACCGGTAAATGATACATCGAGAGTTTGCTCAGCTCTCCCCATTTATCGTATTGATGATTACAAATCGGTGTATGGTGAGGGTATCGATGACGTAACTGATGGATTTGTACCCAGGTGGCCCTCTTTCATGCTATTATGTCAACCTAGAGCGAACCTGGAGATAAGGAGAGGCCTACCTTGGAAGAAAGACTTATTCAGGGAGCAAGATAGGACATTCGTTTGCGGCTCCTTTCCACCCGTAAGTTTAATTTTTGGATCGAGGAACATCGCTCCAGTTTACAACATACTGCTGTTAGGGTTGGACTCCATTTCTCAGCGAGCGGCTGCTCAGTATTTGCCTAAAACAATGCAGCTACTTGATAGTTGGCCTAGTGCATACACCATGAAGTGGTATAATGTGATTGGGGACGGAACAACGGCTAACCTCATGGCGTTGCTTACTGGGCGATTTGAGCATGAGTTACCTGAGGCCCGAAAATCACGAATCCCACTACGTTCTAATGGATCAGTTCTCGACTCCTACCCGTGGATATGGAAGGAATTCGAGCGGGCTGGTGGCTACGCAACTCATAGCATAGAGGATTCCCCGAAATGGGGCACATTTCAATTTCGTCTGACAGGTTTTGGTGCCAAGAAGACACCCACTCATAGTTATGGACGACCGTGCATGTTGGCTGCTGCTCAAGATGAACAACAGTACGGAAAGCAACTGGGATGTACTACCTCAAGGTGAGTGGCGGCTGATTGTTGGTGCAACACATCCAGGGTTTATATCACTTCTAACAGTTTCTCTTTATCAAAGGGAGTTCAACGATAAATATCTTGAGCTCCTAGGATAAGCAAATGAGGTTATCGATGTTACCGTGCTTCAGTGATTATGGGAACGAGCCATTATTTTTGCACTTATTAGCTTTGGTTGCATCAAAGCCTGGCCGTCATCAATACACGTTCAATGCAAGTGAAACACAATTAACATGCTCTAATGTCAACAACAAGATATACCTAATAACCCCAGGGATCATGACGATCTTTATCTTTATCTTTAATAGTGTTCTGTCAAACGTCCTTTTGCCTTTTTAGGTTTGAATGGAGATATACGTTAAAAACCACGAAATTTTGGTGAATACGTATGAAGAAACACTTAAAAAGCCTCTTATGCTTTCGATATTTTGGACAAATTAACCATTCCAATCGAGTTACAAAACTATCTACTTAAACGACCTGTGTAAGTAAAAAGAGTCTTATTCAGACAGACATGTACATGATTTAACAAGGTAAGAATTAACAAAATATAGCAAACCAAGCACCAGAAATAAAGAAACTCAGCATGAAAGCACACCGTTACTAAATGGAATGCAGCGTACCTACAAACGCTGCGCCGGTTCTGTTTACGGTCTCGATGCTGCTCCCAAGTGGCCTCGCTCGTGGCTAACTAGGCTTGTCTAACTCAGGTAATCGCGACCGCATGTGCTATGACACCATGGGGCTCGACGTGGATGGAGTACAGCCCACCGGTGTCTGCCTCATCCTCAACTGCCGCTTCTTCTCTGCTTTCACAAAAGCTTTCTCTTGCACCACGGCAACTACCTTCATGATCAGATCACGTCATGCACGCCGATCAACCACCTTCCATTCTCAACATCTGAAATCAACATTAGAACGTGATAGACTCACTTTGATCATGTCCTGGTAACGTAACTTCGGTTTCCCCACATGCCGCTTCCCTGCACTCAGTTGTCCATACAGTTGCTGTTGCAGTATCCGCGTCAAATCCATACTACATGCATGACGGAGCCACCTCAGGGGTCTCAGCAATAGTATGAAGTCCACTACATGTATTCCAATTCGGCGCGGCACCTCCGTGTCTGCAACTCTGTCGCACCAAAAGATGCATAGAATCCGTCGCGGACACTTTTGAGTAAACCGCTTGAGATATCGCACATCGCATCGGTACACCGTCCACGTTTCGCTGCGGTATAGAAGGGACAGAATCATGTACTTGTAGATCATCAGCGTTGTGGTGGTTGTTCCACACTCAGTACTCTTGCTTCCCGAATGCTGCCGCTGTCTTCAAGACGCGGATACGAAGCTCAGTGTGTATTTGCTGGTCAGTCAAAACCACAATCCCAAGTTAGCAGAAGCAGGAGATGGTTTCCAGTACGTCACCAATGCTGTTTCGCGGCACAATTGCAGATTGTACTTTAGGTGTAGGATGAGGAGAGAAACAGTTTTGCCTGTGTTATTGGTGAGCCCGAATTTGGCCGCTGTCGAGGCCAGTGCACTAGTCATGTGCTACAACTCATCCGCACCGTGTTCACACAACGCACAGGCGTCAGAGAACAGCAACATAGGGATAGCCGTCATAGAGACTAGGGTTCTCTCACCGAAACGACGGATGCTCAGCAAATCAGCATCAATGCGGTGCTCCAGATGAACTCCGTAAGCACAAGCATTATCATGCATACACGGCATCATGTCAGGAAGATAAATAGCAGAGAGAGCAGGAGCTAAGACACAGCCTTGTTTTAAACCAGAGACAACTGCAAAGTCATCAGAGACCTCTTCATTCCGCTGCACACTCGCCCACATGCCACTGTGCAAACTTTCAATAGTACTTACAAACTTACTTGGGCAACTAAACGTACCCAAAACCAGGAACAATGCCTCGCGGTTCACTGTATCAAATGCTTTGGTTGAATCAACAAACAGCGAATACAATGACTGGTCTCAATCTCTGCACTTCTCGTTCGAATGAGGAATCGCAAACATCATATCGATGGTGCTGCAACCCGAACAGAATGCACATTGCTCTTCAGCCACGTTCGGTTCCACAACGTGACTGACGAGGCGGTTGAGCAGAATTCGGACAATCAGCTTGCGCACAACACACAACAAGTTGATATCACGATAAGTTGTGGCAAATTGCTTGCTTCATTTGCTCTTGTCCAGTGGGAGCACAAGGGCATCCTTCAGCTCAGGTGGCAGCTCCTCCTCAATTCACATGTGTTGCGGCAAGTGGTGCGACGCATTCAGCAACGCGGAGCTGCCATGTTTCAATACTTTAGGCGGAGTCCTGTCGGCACCGGTACACTTGCTGTTTCGCAGCTGAGCAAATGCTCTCTGCGTCTCATCCAGTGTTGGCGCGTCTGCCAGACTCATCCTCAACTCCTGCTGCTTCAGGTCATTCATCTTACGTTAGTCAAAATCTGAAGTGTTGTTAAAGAGACGATGAAAGGGATTTCGCCGGATCTGCATTATGTCTGTAGTCTGTTTGCAGGCAGCGCCTGAGCTACCATCGAGCAGCGTCCTCAGCGGCTCCAATTTCAGTCCATATATTGACTTCAAGGAGTCAAATAATTCCTTGTGTTGGTAGCGTTCGTCGTAGCATTCCATTTGTTTTGCCTTCTCCGTCCACCATGCACTTTTATGCGACGGAGCAGCCGAGTCCGCCGACGTCGAACTTTTCGTAACTGACTCTTTTTCCCCAAGGCACTTGTGTCTACCACATGTGCAGCAAATGCTACATTCTTTTCTGACACCAATGCACCAATCGTCACATCGTTCTCATCAAAGCAATCGCGACACATACGGTTTGCGCGTCCGATGTTAGTCTCGGCAGCAGCTGTCACCCGGTCGTAAATGTGGTGCGACATGGCGCCACTGTGGCTATGCATTCCACATCACACAGGCATGCAGTCATCGCCTTTTCCTGTCCAATACTATTCTCCAAAGTACCGAGGGAAAAATTTTTAAATTTGCACCGCTTCACGGCACGGGTGCGCTACATAGATTTACGAAATATATGTACTGATTGATCCGCGCCTATATGTGGTCAGTGCTACACTCAGCTTTACGCAGTACGCGTGGCATGCGCACTTCATGCATGTCACTCTGGCGTACGATGACGTAGTCGAGCAGGTGGGCTTGAACAGTCCGTGGGTGCGTCCAAGTTGCTATATCACTCGCACTCAGTGCAAGCCGAGTGTTCGTGATCGTCAGGCCGTGATTGGCACACAGTGAGAGTAGCCTGTCACCGTTCGCATTCGCTGAACCAATGCCATGCGAAGCGATAACATTTGCCCACACCGATGCATCACGTCCAACGCACGCGTTGAAATCATCCAGCAGAAATAGTCGGTTGCTTTTCGGCGCAAACCTTATCATGGACGATAGCTGAGTGCAGTATTGATGACGCGTCTCATTCGGATAACACATGGTCTGACCGTAGGTGGTTATAAAAGTGGCCAGCAGTCATCAGTCGCACGTTGATGCTAGCCGGCTCACTCATCAGCTGTCCATTGAGGCGATCGGATATCGCAAATCCGACCCATATTCAAGTGGTGCTGAGGTGGCGTTGTCCACACAGTAGAAGGTATAGCCAGCTCCAGCTTCCTGCAATTTACCTTGCTCAGCGATCCGAGTTACGCTGAGTGCCGCAATATCGATGTTGTAGCGCGCCAGCTCCATCGCGACTAGTGCTGTGTGTCGCTCGGGACGCTTACTCGAGTTCCGGTCCAGTAGTGTGCGCACGTTCCAGCACCCGATGCTGAGTGCCTTACGCGCAGACATACGATTGCATTGGTGGACAGTCGCACGCGTGGTGGTGGTTGTGCTGCGGAGCTTTGCTTGAAAAACCGCCCGGCGCCGTGGGCTCTATAGCCTGAGGCACATGGCCGTGGACAGCAGATCCAGCTCGTGAATGTAATTGAAGAGACAGATTGGAGTCTGCTTGAGGTCTGTCACATGCACTCGTTGACGTTCTGGAACAAATCATTTGTGTTTTACTACCGTAGTAAGATATGCACCTTTGACCACCGCCAGACGCAGGAGGGTTTGGCGCGTTTTCACAAATTTTATCATGGACTGCTTGGCTTGAGGCGGGCAGTAGCAAACCATTGAACACCCGGAAGTGCCTTCCCACCGTCAGAGACAATGCGTGGCGCTTGTGCTCTGTGCCAATCGAGCGGTGAGCTTAAAACTCGTGGACCTGTTGTTTTCCATGGCTAAGTTTTACGGGAAGAGTGTCATCAACCACTTCCTTACCTTCGAAGAGGATGGCGTCTTGACTTGGATACTGACAGGGCACCCACACCTGACAGAAGAACGACTCGGGTCCTCAGCCAAAACTTTCGATTAAATGTACACCCGAAAGCCTGCGGGTCTAGCACATGGCCAGTTCACTGATTCCTGCGGATTGGTGTCCTGCCTCTTAGGTAGGAGAAGGACGTAACCCAACTCACACTCTGCGGTCTTCACGAAAAGGCGTCCAGGACATGAGCCCATGACACAAATGTAGCAGCAGTGGGTAGACCATCAGGCAGCATCTCACACCCACTAGTCTCAGCGAACCATAAGCTCTCCCGCACTCTCTCTCTCTCTCTATATATATATATATATATATATATAGGGATTAGTTCAACTCAACGCGCACCACTTTCGCAGTGGATTTGTCGTGGACTTCTAGGAAAATGCTTTCATTTGTATTATGGGAGCAAGTAGATGTCCGAATCTGCGCAATTCCAAGAAAAGATAACTAAAAACATAAGAAAATAAAATCTCTCTGTGACCTGTCAGTATTTTACTCGTTCTCCAACTTCGCACTTGCTATGGTAACATCTACTTAACCCACAGTGTCTTGATACTCACAAACGTGGGACGTCATGGGTAGTGGATAATAGCCCTCGGAATCTGATGGTGGAGAAACGTAGGGCCTAAAATAGTTTAGGATC